GATCTAGAACTTCTTCATAGTTCAAGGGATTTTAAATTAACAAATAGTCACAATGGTCATTTTTGCCTCAATCATCATCAAACTTGGTCAGGATGCTAGTCCGGGTGATAGCTCGGAGGAGTTCGAACATGGGTCATCTCGGATTAAAAACAAGGTCACAGGAGCTAAAAATAAAAAAACCTTGTTAACACTCTGAACACTCTAGGGGTCACATTATTGCCTCCATCATCATCAAACTTGGTCAGGAAACTTGTCTAGGTGATAGCTCGGATGAGTTCAAACATGGGTCATCTCGGATGAAAACCTAAGTCACCGGAGCTAAAAATAGAAAAACCTTGTTAACACTCTAGATAGTGGCTACAGTTTTGATCCAAATATCCGGTAAATTGCTCTGAAAGTTTGTTTTGATGATTTTCGAACATGGGTCATCTCGGATGAAAAACTAGGTCACACCGCCAAAATATGGAAAAATCTTGTTAATACTCCATTGGTCACATTTTTGACATAATTATTATCAAACTTTGTCAGGATGCTTGTCTAGGTAATTGTTCAGATGAGTAAATATGATAACCATACGTGTTAACCGTAAATGAGAAGTTACATTTAAATGACTGAAACGTAGAATTCCGTAAAAATGATTAATCTAATTAGCAATAATAAATCATTTTGTCAAATGTCATAAATAAGGTTTTGACAATTAAGACAAACATATATTCTATAATTTAGAAGCCTTATTATTAGTTAAATGGAAAAACGCATGGTTGAAATAAGTTAGTATTTATAGCTTACTTTACCTAAAATTGAATTGAACTAAATTACCAATTTTATTATCCAATAATATGATTAATAAACGATCAGTGACACTCTTAAACCGATTTTTATTAAAATGACATACCGGTAGTACTTTTAAAAAAAACTTGATTCTTAAAACAGTTATTTTATTTACCATCTTTTGAAAAATGCTTTCAAAGTAGCTAATGCAAAATAATGTGATGAAAATATTGCCGGGTTTCCTACGACAAAACAACATCCGCTTTTTGAGAATAGAAATTTTGACACGTTTTATTACGTTTTGGGTGTTCTTTCTAAAAAAGGGTCGGCTTTTGGAGAAACGAAAAAACGATACGTTTAAATACGTTACTGTCGCGGAAAGGAAATAAAGTTGGTTGAAATCACGATAATGGACAATCAAAGATTTTTGACTAAATTGAAAATTCCCTGCAAGTAAGGCATGCTGCTGCACAAAATAATTGTCAGAACTACTGATTTGAACTGGAGTCAATAGGCCATCATTGTTGCCTCTCACTCCTAACATTGATTTTGAATGAATTTTTGTGCCCCCACTTTAGGAGGGGGGTGGGGGTGGCATTTAGATTTACCTTTGTCCATCCGTCCGTCCGTTCTCTTGTGTCGCACGTAACTCAAAAAGAATTTGACCTAGAGTCATGAAACGTTACAGGAATGTTGATCAGCATGTGTAGTTGTGCACCTGGGTATTTTCTTGTGGATTTATATAGTAGTCTTAGAGTTATTGCCCTTCACTAAGTAAATTTTGCAATTTTCAACTTGTCGCATGTAACTCAAAAAGGATTTGACATAGAGTCATGAAACTTTACAGGAATGTTGATCAGCATGTGTAGTTGTGCACCTGGGTATTTTCGTCTGGGTTTATTTAGTATTTTTAGAGTTATTGCCCTTGACTTGGTAAAACTTGCAATTTTCAACTTGTGTCGCATGTAACTCGAAAAGGATTTGACCTAGTCATAAAACTTTATAGCATGTGTAGTTGTGCACCTGGGTATTTTCACGTGGATTTATACAGTATTGTTAAGAGTTATTGCCCTTGACTTAGTAAAATTTTGCAATTTTCAACTTGTGTTGCATGTAACTCAAAAAGGATTTGACATAGAGTCATGAAACTACAGTAATTTTGATCAGCATGTGTAGGTGTGCAACGTGAATTAATTTAGTATTTGTAGAGTTATTGCCCTTGACTTAGTAAAAATTAGCAATTTTCAACTTGTGTCACATGTAGCTCAAAAAGTATTTGACCTATGTTCATGAAACTACAGAAATGTTCATCAGCATATGTAGTTCTGCACCTGGGTATTTTCATAAGCATTTATTAGCTCACCTGTCACAAAAGAAAATGGTGAGCTTTTGCGATCACTTTGGCCGGCGTCCGTCCATAAACTTTTACTTAAAAGCTGCATGCCTCCAGACGAGTCAAAATATTTCAAGAAAAATCAAACTTGGAAATATGTACTACGATTTTAGGAAAAGTAAAATGATTCAAGTTTCAAGTAATGTTTTACATGTAATGTGCGGTTAATGACTGATTTTTTTTCGTATTTACAACTAAATTTCTACTGTGTTACTAAAGCAGTAAGGACTATTTATGCATATTTTGACAACTTTGGTAATTTACATGGCTTGTAAGTGCCATTGATAATGTGTAAATGACTTCCTTTTGGTTATATCACAATATTATACATTCAAATTTTAAAATTTTTCATGAAATGTAGCATGAATCTGGAGGCTTGCTGCTGTAAGCAACATCTCATAAACCGCTAAGCCAATTTCATCCAAACTTCACAGGAATGTTCCTTTGATAGTCAATTTTGAAAATTGTTCAAAGAATTCAATTCCAAGCCAGGGATTTTTTTTGCCTTATCTTATAGCCGATATTCGGTCATATTCCCAATTGAAAATAGTATATTCACTATATTGTTTTCCCAATCCACAGGAAAAATTGCCAATTGAAGGTTACAAAATAAATAACAAATTTTAAAATAAGGGCTTCTTCACTGTTATGGTGCTTAAATGTTTGCAGACAGTTGTTCTTTGCATTCTTTCAATCACTGCAAAATTTAAGTCATGTACTTCTCCAACTTTTTAACAAAACATCGATGAAATTCCCAATTCCATGTGTATGGGTCATGTTCCCAAAATCCTGAGAAAAAAAACAACCTGCAAGCAGAACTATGGTTGCCATGGCAACCAAAAGATAAAAAAACCCTTAAAATATCTTCTTTTAGAGAACCGAAAGAGCTAGAGCTTAAATATATTTTAGTCGGTGTCTACCCAGTTTGTTCAAATAAATGTCTTGAGGTCAAAATTTCTTGCAAAAAAAATAATCAAATATACTGAAACAAAAAAGAAACTTTCTCCAAGTTTGAATGTAGATATTTCAATCCTTTTGAAACTCGATTTTAACGTTGAATAAACATATCGGGCTTTTATACGGGGATTAGCTGACCGATTTTGCAAACAAAACGAGTTTTACAAGCTACTACATGTATATAAGTGTGTACATCTATAAGTGGTACCCTTGAACAACTGGCACATACTTTGCGAAAGTTTCTTTTTTGGTTCAGTATATTTAGTTTCATATACACTTTAAACTGAACATAAAATAATTATGGATTCAATTGCATACCAGTTTTCTATTTCCTGCATACAATGCTAAAATAATTGAGCCGCGCCATGACAAAACCAACATAATGCGTTTGCGACCAGCATGGACCCAGACCAGCCTGCGCATGCGCGCAGTCTGATCAGGATCCATGCTGTTCGCTTACAAACCCTATAACAAATAGAGACTCTGACAGCGAACAGCATGGATCCTGATCAAACTGCGCGGATTTGCAGGCTGGTCTGGATCCATGCTGGTTGCAAACCTATTATGTTAGTTTTGTCATGGCGCGGCTCAATTATGTGTAGTTTTGTCATGAACACTTAAGCTTAAAGGTCACTGCAAAAATCTTGTTTTGCACAGCACACACATGAAACTTAATTATTTGAAAATGAAATAGACCTTCTCAAGTGAAAGTCTCAGAAAAGTTTTAAAAGAATTCTAAGAAGTAAGGCAGTAAAAAGTATATACAGTTTATTTGTTTATTTCATATTTTATAATAGCATAAGATTATAAATACAAAATCGTATCATATATTAGTTGCTGATTCATATGAAAGAATAACTGAAAGACCCTCAAATATATAGTGAGAAGTTAAAAATTGGGTTACATTCACTTTGACTGTGTTAATTGAAACCAGCAAGTTACAGAAAGAATGATGGCAGGCATATATTTTAACATCTGAGTCAGTTTGATACAAACAAGCAGTATAATTATGATCAGTGAAAACTTTATTTGCAACACTGTCACTGTTTTTGACCCCTTATTATTGGCTAGCCAATAAGCCAGAAAGGAGCTTACATATATGTATGATTGCTACATTGTTTCTTGCCCTTAGTTGAAGAGAAAGCAGGTAATAATTCAATGCTTGTTGAGGTCTGTTTTCTTGTTCCATACATTGCCCTAAGATGTTGAGAGCTGTTTCTCTATGTGTAAGGTTTTTATCAGTTACTATGGTTCTAATAAGTTTACTAAGCGCTTGTTGTTGATCTTGATGTCTTTGTAGATGACTGTAGATCTTATATTGTAGGAAGTACAGGAAAGGTAGAGAATCAACTACAGCCCAGTTCATCCAATAGTCTAATAACTCATCTCTGTGTATCATGTCATGTTGTGCAGATCTAAACATTTCATATTGTAGTTCATGAGGAACACAGTTGATCTCTTCCTGTATAAATTTGACACAAAATGCTGTAATATGTTTGATACAGTCCTCACTTTGCTCAGTACATATTCTTACTAATTCCGCTTTTACTGCTTGTGGCTGCTTACGCGAGCAGCCACAGATGGGTACAACAGGATAAGAGTAATATTGTTGTTCAGTCTGTCTCAGAATAAGTTCAGCTTTCTCCATATCTCCTGCACTGTAGAACACTGAAGCCAATTTCAGTCTGCCAGATGAGTTATCTGAGTTTAAACCAGCTGAAAGCCAAGCCAATGCTGGAGGTGGCACTTGATTATTTTCACCAAGGCTGGATGATGCCAGGATAGATCCATATGTGGTAAAAGAACAAGGTGCTAGAAACTTGAATGCATCATGTTCTAATCTGTTACCATTATCACTGAAAGCAATAAGTTTACCTATGCAATGCTTGATTGTTACAATGCTTTTTTTTGTAAATATTTTAAAATAGCCATATGATTTATGCTTGTAACGTATGCTGTGTTTAAATAATCACAGAACATATAAAGTTCTTTTATTTCATAATGATATGCTCTTTGTGGTACCATGTTCAGTTTAACTTGCAGTCTATGGCCAAGATCATCAATATCAATTCTAAGTAACATTTGTCTGTCATTTTGCAAATAATCACTCATATTTTTTAAAAGTTCATGTTTTTTTCCAGCTGTAAATTGCCCTGCCATTAAATTGTTTTCTCGGATAATGAAATGTGAACAACAGTTATTCTGTACACAGCTTTGTAATTCTAATAAGCAGTATGTTAAGCATATAATTAAATTGTTCTCTTTCCATATACTTGACTCTGTGTTTTCTATACAGTGAAATAGAACTGTTTTACACATGAAACTTGATATATTGATTTCCCCGTGAGGATTGAGGAAGGATTTAAGAACCATTTTCAATAAAACATAGCACCTTATTTGCGTTATATTTAGATTGAACGTAAGGCATCTTTCTGCCAATGTTGTAGATATTCTCCATTCCAGGTCAGGATATTTACTGACCTTACTTCCAGTTGGAACAACGAAACACCCAGTACTGGCTATATATCTTCTCATGTCTTGTGTTGGCCATCTGCCAATACCTTGTCTATCTAACCAACCTGATGCTGATTGAGGCCAGGATTTACAAGAAAAAGCTGGCACAGTGTCTGTATCACACATTCCATGCCCTCCTTGTACAGGATATGATGGTCCATGTTTGAAAATACACTGACCGGAAGGTCCATGTTTTAAAAAACCCTGACCGGAACCATTAAATATTGTGTTTTTTAACAATATTCTTCCTCTTCTATTATTGATATGGTGTTCTTTAGGAATGACAGTGGCAGGACGAGGTTCGTAACAATGGAGCAGTTGTAGGAAACAATAACCAGGGGTAGTATTCTCATCCTGTATCATGAGATAGTTTTTCTTGCCATGTTCCCACTCTGACCAGTCTTGTATTATATTGAAATCATGCACACAGACTAGTATATCAATGTCTGAATTAAGTCCAATAGTAGTTGAACCTTCAGTCTGGCTCCCTAGATGATATTCAGTAAGTTTTAGATCAATTGACCTGTTTCTGATGTTACTCATAGTCTCTTTCAACATGTACCTTCTTCTCCTTCTCATCACCATTCTTTCATTGACACCAATGTCATCTAAAACCTCTGATAACATCAATGATAGGTTTTCTCTGTAGTCAGGTTCTTGAAACATTCTGTAACAATTAGTAAAGGGGAAAATTGTTTTATTCAGCAACCAAGTTTATTTCGTCATGTTACTTAACTGTCCTTGATGTCCTAGAACAGAACAGCACCGGATAGCCAGTACAGGATAGCAAATTTTGAAATTTTACATAATTTTAGGTAGATATCAATAAATAAATGAAATTGTAGATTTGTTTTCCTTTTATCTATTTGTTTTGTTATTTTTCTATTTCATTTCATGAACATTTTGATGTCTTAGTGTCTTAATAGATGAGTGGATGTGTGATTTATTAATTTCTTAATACTGAATATTAAAGTTAATCCTGGCAAAATATAACTGAATGTCTTTTTACCATGGTGGATTTTCTTTCAGTCTATTTTGTGTTACAACTTTTCCAGTATCAATTTATTAAAAAAGTTTCTTACTTTCAATTTTGTTTAAAAAAAAAACTTTATGAAAAATAAATAAATAACTTACCAATATTTTATCAATAGTAAATTGAACTAGTTCTTTAAAATAGTGAAACATTTTTGATTTCCAGAGTTACATTAATTTTATACTATTTTTTTTAATCAATACATAGTTATAAATTTGATTAAATTTTGTGTAAAAATTACATTATATTAAATTGTATTAACTTGAAGCAGAAGCTAAGACAAGGATACTTGAATTTAATATAAACATTTGGCATTAAATTCTTACATAATTAAATTTTCAATGAAATACTTTGTTAAAATATTATTAATTAATAATGTAATAAATGTTGAAATATGTGTACAAAAATAAATCACAAACTTACTTTGAAAAGATGATTTCGTACTATGTCACGAAAAAATCAAGAAATTATATTATTCTGTTTCGCAAGATCGAAAGAAATTTTGCTACTTTTACTTCCTCTGATGATGTGAGGAGGGAAATAACGCATTTTATCATCCTACTGTTTTATAAGAAAATTTTATTGTTTCCTCTGTTGAAAAAAAAACAACAACAAAACATTAACAACATACATGAAACTATAAGGACTATAAGGACTTAAATATAAAGTACTATCTATTAAAGCAATAAAGAAATTATTAAGACAACATATGAATTAAAATTATGTAAAGAATATTGCATGTACAAACATGCTTTCAGAGATTAGGTATATAAAAATGTTTTACAGACATGCCTAATTAAGATTTTAAGATTATTGAAAACACAATAAATTTAGAGAGAAATGCGTTATTATTTAAATAACTGACAGAGTATTCATCAAGCTAACTTAGATATGAATATGGTACAATGTATTATTGTTTATAAATTGAAAAATAGAAATACCAAAAAAAAAAAAATGAAGAAAGATAATGACTATTTTTTTTTTGTAATAAAACTCAGTATTTTCATGAGAAAACACATATACCACTCTTGTGGCTGAGGGGTTGCCTTTAAGGGTTGAGGCATCAAAATTGCAGCCACCGTTTATCCCTGTGTGATCATAAAGGGGGGCTAAATGGGTTTGAATTACTGCACTCTCTGCATCTATAATAGCTCCAGCTGGTAAGGTGGTTATGACCCCTGGTGTTGCTTCAAGTTTGAAACATTTAGGGTAATATCCAAATTCATCTTTCCTTTTTCAGCACAATATGACTTAGCTGGTTGGTGCCCTGTAAAACCAAACCAAACAAAAACTAAACAAAACAAAACTATATAGGTATACAAAATAATATTATGGCAATAGATCTTCTAATAAAATATTGTCCTATATGTTATAAGTTCCCTACTAGTTAAACTGGAGGGGACTTTTAGGTGTACAAACATGTAGATACTTAAAGGGCTATGGGAAGGGTAAATTTCCTTTGATGCTTTTCATTCAGTAAGCTCTTTGGTGGCTAATTTTTCTCTTACTTGGCTAAAAGAACAATAGAGAGAACAAAAGAGTGGCAACTTATATACCAGACTTTGAGCACGTCCATTCAAACCATCTGTCCGTCCGTCCGCCCATACTTCCATCCACAAAACTGGATCCCTTGATAACGCAAAAAGTACTGAAAATATTTTAGTGAAACTTGAAATATGGATAGATGGCAGTCTGAAGATAATGCATACATTTTTCTTTTCTCCCTATGTTGAAACATTTGGTTGTTATGATAACAAATAGATTTAAAACATGGCAAATGTAATACAAAAACTAGATCCCGGGATAACGCAAAAAGTACTGAATTTTTTTTTTAGAAACTTAAAATATGGATAGATGGCAGTCTGGAGATTGTGCACATCTATGTTGAAAAATTTGGTTGCTTTGGCAACAAATGGACTTAAAATATGGCAAATATAACAATACATGTAGGTCTAATTGTGATAACTTAAAAATTACTGAAAATATTTTTAAAAACTTGCAATATGGATAGATATGGAGAGGTTCACAAATCTAACACTAAAATTATTAGATTTACCTCCCCTTATCTTAGAAAAAAATGTTGTTTTTGTATAACTTCTTTATTTCTTAATGCATCTATTTCAAATATGTGGCAATAGTTTCATATCACTTATCAGAATTATCATCCTTAATTGAACTCGGGAAATTTCATGAAAAAATGTGGTTTTCTATAACTTCTTTATTTCTAAAGATGTCTACTTCAAACTTCAAGTACATTTATATGTTCCTTATTTTGACTCAAATCATGTGTGAGAAGATTCAATACCCTAGCTTGACTATTTCCAGCATTGTGCGCCCCCTTTTTTCTATAAATGATTATTTTTTCCTCATTTCTAACAGGATTTACTTCAAACTGCAAATTCCCAGATAATTGTAATATGACAAGGTCTTTATACATGTATCTGCTGTCCACATTTCCAGAATAAACTTCCCTGTCAACTTTGATTTTCCCTTTTTAGCTCAGGGTGAGCTTTTAGAATCGTTGAATGTCAGTCATCCGTCCACATTTGTTCGTTAACACTCTAGCTAGCGGTCACATTTTTGCCTCAATCGCCATCAAACTTTGTCAGGATGCTTGTCTTGGTAATAGCTCATGGGACATCTTGGATGAAAAACAGGAGCTAAAAATAGAGAACACTTGTTAACACTCTACTGGTCACATTTTTTACTCAATTGTCATCAAACTTGGTCAGAATGCTTGGATGAGTTTGATGGGTCAGGTGAGCGATCTAGGGCCATAATGACCTTCTTGTTTAGTATTTGTAGAGTTATTGCCCTTGACTTAATTTTTTTTGCAATTTTCAACTTGTGTCGCATGTAGCTCAAAAAGTATTTGACCTAGAGACATGAAACTTGTGCACCTGGGGTTTCGCTTGCGGATTTATTCTGTTTTGTCAGAGTTATTGCCCTTGACTTAGTAAAAACTATCCATTATGTTGCGATATTTGTTCCTTCAGTGCTTGAGCTAGAATCAACCAACTTTACAGGAATAATGATAAACATCACTGTGAAGCTATGCACGTTGGGTCTTGCATGTGGAATTTTTCAAGTTTTGTTTGAATTATTGACCTTGACTTAGTATAAATTTGCAATTTTCAACTTGTTCATGCATAGCTCAAATTTTTTTGACCTGTAAGCCTGAAAAATTCAAAAATTTTGGTCAGCATGTGTACGTACATATTTTTGGGTTTGCTTGTGGATTTGTTCAGTATTTGTAAAGTTCTTGCCCTTTTCTTAGTACAAATTTTTTAGTTTTCAACTTGTGGCACATGTAGCTCAAAAAATTTGACCTAGAGTCATAAGATTGACAAAACAGTGGCCGGAGTGTGGGGGCACCCGTGCCCTATGGACACATTTCCAGTTATTTATTAAGATGTGTTTGGTATACACTTTTTTAAGGTCTAATGTAATATTCAGGAGGCCTACATGAGTCATAAAATTTATGCCTATATCATTTGGTAAGATTTGTGTGAAAACTTTGTTATAAAATTGCTGCACACAACCTTTACGGTCACAATGACCTAGCGACTAGTCATGACAGGTAGATATTGTTTTGTCACTAGGTCAAAAGTCAGCCACAATAACCTAGCCACTTGACTAATTGACTGCTGATACTGGGCATACATGTTTTACAAAGATTTATCTATGCTCTTTAATGTACTGAGTGAATGAAAGTTGTGTTGCTGGCGTTGTATAAAGCTGTTATTTATGAATGAATGGTCTTAAATTCATACTTGAGCATTACTACTTTAAGGACAACGTCTTAAAAAAAGATCAAACTCAGTTGACATTGACCTATAAATAGCCTTTACCTTGAAGATCAAATTATAGTAATTTCATATTTTTAAGCCACTGCAGCATCTGCGATGCAGTGGCATGTAGCGATTCACGTGTGTGTGTGTGCGTGCGTGTTATATAGATTATATATGAACTTGAAAAATCTTCTTGTTAAAAACCACTGGTCCAATTTCAACCAAACTTGGCAGGATTAATCCTAGGGTGAAGGGCTTCCAAAGTTGTTTCATAAAGCACTTCATTCATTGCAGAAATCTGGTTGCCATGGCAAACACAAGGAATTAGAAAAATAAATCTAAAAATCTTCTTGTAAAGACCCACAAGGCCTAGAGCTTAGATATTTTGCATAAGGCATTGTTTGGTAGACCTCTACCAAGATTGTTCAAATTATAGCCCTGGGGTCAAAATTGGCCCCGCCCCGGGGGTCATTGATTTTCACTATATGTACATATAGTAAAAACTTAAAAAATCATCTTCTCGAAATTGACAAAGGCTAGAGATAAGATATTTTGCACGAAATATTGTGTAGTGAACCTCTAGCAAGATTGTTTAAATTATAGCCCTGGGGTTAAAATTGGCCCTGCCTCGGGGGTCATTGATTTTTCACTATGTTCATATATTAGAACATTAAAAAATCTTATTGTCTGAAGGTACAAGGCTTAGAGCTTTGATATTTGGTATATGATATTATTTATAGGCACTCTACCAATGTTGTTAAAATTTTGCCTCTAGCGTCAAAATTAGCCCAGCCCCAGGGGTCATAGGTTTTCTTTACATGTATATAGTAAAAACTTTAAAAATCATCTTCTCTTATTTACAAAGGCTAGAGGTTAGATATTTTGCATGAAACATTGTGTTGTGAACCTCTAGCAAGATTGTTCAAATTATAGCCCGGGGGTCAAAATTGGCCTTGCCCCGGGGGTCATGATTTTTCAGTCACTATATCATAAAGTAAAACATTAAAGATCTTCTTGTCTAAAGGTACTTATCTGATAATAACAATTTGATAGGTCAGTAATCTATGCATTATGGCAATCTTCAATTGTATAGAAACTATTACTATATAGTGTTGTATTAATGCGGTGGCATAGCATCTTTCACAAATGCAATCTTGTTTTTGCTATAATTGGCTTAAACTGCAATAAATGTGCACACCAGTCTTAAGTTGACCTTCACCTTAATTTGACGTTGATCAAATAACAATTAGCCATAGCTATTTACTTACATATGTGGTTCATACCTTGGACAAAAAACTTTAAAACACGACAAAAGCGACATTATTCTGAAATTACATTAACCAATCATTATTAACTGTCAAGGTCAAACTATTGAAATTTGCTTAAATTGTCGTAGCTTAGTTATTTACTTACCGATTTGATTTATACATGTACTTGGACAAAAGAACACATGAGAAAACCAATACATGTTGAATATTCAGAAAAATAACGTTAAAAAAAACACATGTACACAAAAACAATTTTATTCGGAGAAACTTGATTCTACAGTAGATCTAGTGAACTTTGTAAGTTTGCATATACTTAGCAAAGCAACTTTATATAAGTAACTGTACTTTTACAGTATGGAGACATGAATTTCAACAACATAAATATCAAAGTAGAACTTATTGGATATACAGCTAAGGAGTATCAAGTGTATTAAAGACATTAACCCATTACTTCATATAGAAGTCTGTTCACGCCTTTTCACTCCCTT